TAACTAACTAACGAAGTAGGAGTACGTACGTACTACTTAACTTAAGTACTAAACTAAAAAACGAAATAAGTAGTAGTTAGTAGACACAACGAAGATCTCTCTCTCTCTCTCTCTCTCTCTCTCTCTCTCTCTCTCTCTCTCTCTCTCAGCCAGTAAAGAGGGGGTGTTGAAATCTTTTTTTGTTGGGAAAAAATCGTGTCTTAAACACTTGGTTGCTAGTTCCACTCATATCAGTATGTATTTCCATCCCTCCAACATATGTGTTTGGCTATAACTGGGGCTCCATTAATATTTCCATTAATTACACAAGTGAGTTAGTTAACATTTCTAAAAAAATTACACAAGTGAGAGAGTTAAAATAGCTAAAAACTAAGGGTGGAAATAGCACTACCCAATCGATAGAAGTGATAATGTGATAGGCTTAACAGATTGGCTCCAACAAGTTTCCAAATTAAACCTCATACTTAGACAAATGGAAAACAGAAACATGGTAACCATTTCACATCCAACTAACTTCCCCTAATGGCATTCAACTAGTTATCCTTTTTTTTTTCCCATCTTTGACTAGTTATCCGTATTGAACATCGCCCATAAACATTTTCAAGTAAAGCAGAGTTCCTAAACATTGTGAATGAGCTTACCTGTATGACATTGACCACTTGTTTGATAGCCCATCCAGGCAGTGCTACAAGAGCCGGAATAGAGAGAACAACCCCTTGCTTTGTGGCATTCACAAGAACCTGCACAAAACAAAAACCCTAAGTCATGAAAAGTTATTCATCAGCTTCTATATGGATATGGGAACAAACTCAAATTGCAAATGGGACTCACATTAATCACACTTTCCGACTCATTTGTAGAGAGAAGAAAGAGGACAATATAGAGAACCTGCACAAAATGTAATCCCTGTAAAAAATTGACAAGTGCGTACCTAAAATTCATTATTTTCTCTCTTCTTCCTTTTTTTCTAACAGAAATTTGCAAGAAAGGGCTACTACCTCAGATCCAACACAGCAGTATCCCATGAACAAGCGGTGCCCATAGTATGCTCTGAGCAGCCAACTTGTGCTATCTTTGACATCTTTGTGGCTAACCTTGCTTGATAAAAATGTACTGCAAGCGCAAACTGTGAAAAATAAGTAAATTTGAAAGGAAAGACAACCATACATGTGGACAGCAATGCTTATGATAGTCTAATTTGATTCTAATGTAAGAAACAGTTCCCCGCATGCTCTCTCTCTCTCTCTCTCACTCAAACACACACACACACAAACACACTCACAAAAACAAAAAAAGTTTATAATAGAGGAGTTTAATTTAATAACTGTTAACAATAAGAATATGATAGCAATGTGCAGGAAAACCTCTTTTTTGATGGTTAACAAAGCAGTAAAATTATCTTGGAGTGTAAATGATTTTTTGGTGAAAACCACATTTTCAAGATAGGAACTGTAGTTTCAATAAAAACGGCATGAAATCTAAGAGAACTTAACTAGGTGACAGCAAGAAACAGCAGTTGGATCTTTTTATAAGTTACAAATGTAGTTCCTGAGAAAGAAAAATCACCTGTACATTTGTAACCAGTGGCTAGCAATATCCAAGGCAAGCAAAAACAAGAAGAAACCAAAGCAAGATCTGCAAATGAAACTATTGAATCAATAGCTCACTTGATAGAATGATACCAAAATAGAAACATCACATTAGGTAAAAAAATTTACACTAGATAAAAAATTTCTCTTAGAAGATGGCACCTAACCTGTAGAAATGAGACAAGACCACCAATAGACAGGCAGTGCTTACCCTGGACAACAGAGCACAATCTCAGTAGGTAAAATAAGGTTTTGACAAGATATATTCCCGCAAAACCTTTTGAAGAAGTAAAGAGAACCACTCTAAACATGTTAACCGACACGAGCAAAATCCAAAATATAACTGATATAACCACCAAACTCTCTCTCTCTCTCTCTCCTCCTCTCTCTCTCTCTCCCTCTCTCTCTCACACACACACACACGCCCACACACATTTCTATTATAAGATGTAATCTTCGGAGGGGAACAAGCATAAAGGTGTGGCCCAGGTGGGGAATACCTTAGGATCTAAAGGTGGAGGGGAACCTGCACCATTGCATGGGGAGGTAGGTTCATCCTCATCATCCAACATGTACAGCCTTCACCTCATGACTCTGCTTATTGGATGGTAGAATGACCCTACCCACTGATCCAACAGCATGCAAGGTTTCCTGGACCATGACACAGCATGAGGAATCTTATGCAAGCATTTCCCCAAAACACGACGACATTTAGTAATAGAGAATTAGGACTAAAGTAAGTTCATGGCATTGTTACCACACCAAACTCTGAACTTAAAGAATAGAGGGGCACCTATCCGTTACCATGTCGAGGACAGCTCCAAATGTTGACACTGAAACAGAAAACGAACATCAATAAAGGCACAAAAGATAATAACATCAAAATGAAGAGACAATTACCACAGATTATTACGCTATGCATGTAAGTATCAACATTTATTCAAATAAATTATGGCATGAAATAATTCTGATTGCCGCAACAATCATCATCAAATTATCACATGGGGTCTGAAACTTTGAATACAGTTTCCAAATAAGGGAACTGTAACGGTTTATAATGTAGAATCTGATGCATATACAATTTTCAGATCCTAGATCTGAGTAACACCACATCCAAAATACTGCTACAACAGGAAGAACACTTGTTCGGAGAAGCAGCTACGAATTACCACATGTGCTCTCCCAACCGTATAAAACTAGAGTCCCTGTCCTCTTCACTTGGGCACTCCTCTGGACACCATCAACATCACACAAACACAGACCCCCTTGCCAACTTCAGTTCCTTAATCACAGAGAATTATCAACTCCCTCCCTCCCTCTCGCTGCAGCTGCACTTTCACTTAAGAGTACACCAACAATGTTCCCACTGCAGAGTGTAAACAACTTCTGTACTAAATCATCCAGCTGTTATTAGAACGAATTTTGCCAATGTTGGTTCAACAAAACAAATTATGATGCATGATACATAATGAGACTGCTATTTCCCTTCCCTAATCACGCCCCATATGCTCCCTATATTTTCAATATCCCTTAAATACCATTCATGTAGGTGAACTAGGACAATTTTAGAGAACAGAAAACTACTAAGCTTATTCTCCAGTTATGCAGAGGCAAATTTTCATATTTGAGAAGAGAGCTGAGCATTTTAATGATGAGATAACTATATCAAGTGTATATTTGTCAATTCAATTATATTAATAGGTAAAAAGAAAATTCAATATTAAATGCTTATCAGGAAAAAATAAAGAAAAACAATACCAAAGATAAACATCAGAGAAATGGAGATATCTTCCATTTTCAATTAATAAAATCATTTTAATACAAAGAAATATACAACCATAATGAAGGCCTTGATATGGAAACAAAAACCTATGGTGATTTGACATCCTACGCTTTCATTAGTAACTCATATCGGCAACAATAAAATAAAAAAGCTAATTTGCATTTAACCCTCATCAGTGTTTTGAAGATCACCGACTCTACTGGGGAATACCTGCTTCAACTTGGCTTGGCCACCCAGCAAGTCTTTAGGATGTTTTCTAAAACTCTGCTGGATTTTATCATTGCCTGTAAGTTTTCAAATTGACTGGGCCCTTTCACCCTTTCTTCCTAAAGTTTAAATTGACTTGAGAGAGCATACGCTATTAAGGCTAGGCCGAGTCAATTCAATAAGTTCTACTTGGGAGCAGTTCGAGTCTTGAGCTAAATCCGAGCTTAAAGAAATTGATCCTCATCAAGTAGACATCTACGCCCACAAGGGAAAAGATTATTACTATGACACTGAATGACGTGAGAATTATTGACAGATGTTTGGAAACTTGCCAATTAGACTCTATGAGATCAACTAATACGGCAAGATACTCATCTCCAACACTAGTCACCAAATCAGCACTATGAGATTGTCTAGAAATAGATGGCAGGATCTTGTCACCCATTAGGATGATATAGAGAATGAAGATGACAAGATAGTCAACCTTGGTGTAACCTTGTGACACACTTGACCAGATGCAGTATATATCATTAATAATATTTCCACCTGATTCAGGGGCTATATGGTTTACATGGCCATTTGGATTTTTTTCCCTCTCCCATACCCATAATCGTTTGCATGCACATATCAGCACCTATTCAGAATGCATCAGATCTTATAATACACAAGCCCACAAAGCATATTGAGGTAGATGTCGCTTTATCATAGAAAATCCACTATTGGAAACCTAGCTCCACATGTATCTTCCGAGCTTCATTAGCAAACTGGTGCTAACCACCCCATTAGATCAGGAAAAGTGCCTATTAACATGGAGTAGGCACTGTCTTTGCAATTTTACATTTCTCTTTTGTCGATGTAGAACATAAGGACATAACAGTAAGACTGCATAGTACCGTAAGATGTACATAGCCCCCACTTTAATCGATGTAAATGGTAGGAACATAATTCATGTAGTCCAACAAGTTGTTTATTTGATTTTTTTGCTTAGTTTGACTTGAGTGTGCAAACTATTGGAATATCAGCATGCTATGTTGAGCAATCTACAAGGCTCACCAAGAAATTATGATTTTGCATAAGTATATATTTTTATATTTGAAATCAAATATGAGAATATAAAGATGAACATTTTTTTTTTGGTCCATACGCATATAAATAGCGCTACCAATTAAGAGAAAAGGATATTTTCTACAAGAGTGTCCAGTATTCACCCTAGAGGACCCTAATAAAAAAACAAATCCAGAAGTAAACTTATCTCCATGTAACTCTTCGAAAATTTGCATTCTTCATGGAAATTATGTGACTCATTGCCAAAATTAGCAGCCTAGAATTTTTTTCTTTTACACTAATTCCTGATTTCCTAAGCAAATAACTTCAATACATCCTCCATCCCTCTCCTCAAGGCATCTATTATATCTTGTCTTTACTTTTAGATAAAATATCACCTTATCCTCTATTTTTGAGTTCTATTTCTCATGAAACCCAAAGATTGAAAATATTACTTGTAGCATAGGGTCTCTATCTTTTCTATCTTCCAAACCCCTGAACCCTTTTGACCATGTATTTTTTACCCAAATAAATATTAAAATTACACCCTCACAAAATTCTTTTCTTTTCCGTTAATTTCACCGTCTATCTCTCAAAGCATAATTTCACCGTCTATATCTCAAAGCACCATCTCTCTCTCATATCACCGTCTCTCTCTCATATCACTGTCTCTCTCTCTCTCTAATACCCAAAATTGCATAGAAGTTCCACAAAGAAATTTATTGGTACCTTATGCTTGATTTTGTGACCTCCAAATGATTGATGGGTTGGGGCTACAACAGGGTAACAAGACTTCAGATCTGTGGGCTTTTGCGAGAGAATTCATGGTATGTTGGACTGCAAAAGGGGCTAGACAGAGATGTAGTGTTTTGTGCGAGAGATAGACGATGTAGAGAGGAGAACTTCATGTATCAATTTGGGTATTTGAGAGAGAGAGAATGAATAAACAATGTTTGAGGCTCGATTTGGTGCCTCCAAATGATCAATGGGTTGGGGCTGCAACAGGGCAATAAGGCTTCATATCTGTGGGTTTTTTTAGAGAGAATTTGTGGTATATTGGGGCTGCAAAAGGATGTGGTGTTTTTAGAGAGAGAGAGAGAGAAGAGAGAGACGATGTAGAGGGGAACTTCTTTACAACTTTTGGCATTAGAGAGAGAGACGGAGTTTTGAGAGAGAGAGAGAGAGAGACGGTGATTTGAGAGAGAGAGATGGTGTTTTGTGAGATAGAAGGTAAAATTAACGGAAAAGAAAAAAGTTTTGAGATGACGTCATTTTAGTATTTCTTTGGATAAAATATTCATGGTCAAAGGGGTCTAGGGGGTTGGAAGATAGAAAAGATAGAGACCCTATGCTACAAGTAATATTTTCAATCCTTGGGTCTCATGAGAAATAGAAGTCAAAAATAGGGGATAAGGAGATATTTTACCTTACTTTTAATACTGAAGAATCCACAAGGAAATCCTCAGAAAGATATTTTGGGGTATCTCTCAGATTCTAGAGAGACTCCAGAAACCCCATACTGGTAAAATACTAGAAGTACAAAATTTCATAAAATGCACTTCAAGGAAAATGTTCCCAGAAATAGCATTTTTTAGCTTCTCATAACAGAATTAATTTCCCCCACTGAACTAAACCTTTTCAAGTACCTGACTGAACAAACTTTGAGTTTCTAAAAGTGTGCCAAGGAAATATAAGATTTCTCCCCATATGTTTCTCAAATACTTGGAGCTTGAGTGATAAGTGATAAGCCCTTAAGCTTATAGCTTACGCCTTTAGTATTTCCCACACGCCATAAGCAACAACACTTTCCTCCAACCTTGTCGTTATCCAGTCCAGTGCATCAATAGGCATTTCTAAAAAGGTTCTCACGCCTTTCTTAGCATCATTGTTTCACATTTTCCTTAAGGGCACGTTTGTTTTGCAGGAAAGAACACTCCAAGAAAGTTCCCCTGCTTGACTACCACTTTCTTATGTTTGTTTCATGGGAAAGAGCAGCGCATTGGAAAGCATGTTTCCACACCCAAAGGGGCACTTAATGTATTTTGATGAACTGTGGTGAGAAAGCAGCTTTCTCATGGAGCGGAAAGCTCTCTACACGAACAAACACTCTGGAGAGCGCTTTAGGCCGAAACAAGTATTCCCTAAATTACAGAAAATTTGAATAACTCCTCAAATTATAGAAGTAGGAGCCTTTGGTACATGAAAAACCTTGCTATGACTCCAAGCCTATGACACATAATTATAGTCAGTATGACATTTATTCATTTAAAGGATAAATAATGGGATACTAACAGGATAGCAAGTAATGGGATACTAACAGGATAGCATAACACAGTTCCTCTAGAATTATTTCCAAAAGTAACATTTTGAGTATAATGGTAAACCATTCAAAAATATGCAGACTAAAATATTCAAAAGAATGCAGTAATCATGAATCAGAATCATCCTCATCAAAGCCTTATCCCAACTATCTGGGGTCGGCTATGCAGTAATCATGAGTCTTAGAGGTTATACACTATTAATAGAAGTTCGTAGGATGATGCATGGAAAGAAAAACCAAAAGTGAAAACATAAAAAAGGAACTTGTCACTTTGATATGTACCTTGATTGAACATGCGAGCAAACCGGCCATCTAGCTCATCACACACAAAACTGATAACATTCAGACTTGATCAATTGGCATTTTGATTTCTACTTAAATCACAATCATATGATATTACACTAGTTCAAAAGATGTCACCTGACAATATAAAGAATAGTGAAGATCTTCTTGTCAGAAAAGCAATACCCAAATGCAACGGAGTTCGCAACTATTCTTGCATATCCTGCATTCACGTATTGTCCTATGAGATTTCTTGGTGTGAATCAAGTGACTTTGTTTCTTAAACTAAAACATATTTCAAAGACACATATATCAGGACCCACCAATAAGATTGGGGATGTAGAGATAAACAGGCCACCCACACTGAGTTGCCTTACTAGCCATTCCACAGAATTAATCAGCTCTACCAGCGAGAGTCTACCCAGTCCTCATATGGAGTTAAACACCGCTATCTCCACTCCGTACTTCCCCTTCAATTTTCAAAATCATAGGTGTTAATTATAATCTTCATTCAAGTGGTACTCTAGATACCAATAAGTAGTCAAAGTATAATAATATTGGAAGAACATGATATACTTCTGGATTTCTATTGACAAAAAATGAATGTCTCTCAATAGAATGAATTAAAATATCAATAAAAGTTACTGGAATGAATGACAAAAAAGACCAACAAATATATGAAAGTCTTGTTGATCCTTTCCTCTTTTAGGAATAAAAAGTGACAGTATGAAGCACTAGCATATCAGAAACCCAATTAAACCATTAGGAACATGATAATAGATAATAGATAATAGATAATAGATAATTAAAACTATCATCTATTTCCTCAAATTTTAACATGCAACAAATCATAAAATTGCATCATACATTGGTTTTCGAACAAATACTCAATATATTGTAAAATTTTTCACCTGACAGCAATACCTCTTCACTTTCCTTGCAATCTTTTATAAAGGAAACTCATTTACACTGGTTCAGTAGGTGTAAAGCCCAAGTTATCCACGAATTGAAGAAAGAAAACACGGTTGCTTCACATTACAAAACAAGACAAACTGTGGAGGAACTAGAATTTCATAGAAAAACATAAGATCAACATCAAACTTTAAATTATTTAAGTACAACACCATACATACCTTATCTCTGTTATAGATGAATGTGGGTTTCCATCACACATTTATTTCGATGAAAACCGAAATAACCCTAATGACAATATGGGCGGTTTCATGCCTAGACTATTCATCTCTTGTTAAAAAATGGATCACAATGAATATATTTTTTATCCGAGTAGTGCTTGCAATGTAAACAATTGGATGGAAAACCTGGTGAATAATGCAGTAGGAGTTGCAGAAGCAAAGAAATATGCATTACTGGAAAGCGGGCCACTGCAAAAGAAAATTAAATGGAACTGATATGTGATATGTTGAAATAGTTCAAGAAGACTTCATCCCGGGGGCTTTGAAACACAAATTCATAAAGACTAAGTAATTATTCCAATACCTCTCAAGGGTCATTTGAAAGAACTTTTACAAGTATTTCTCAAAGGAGTTTGTTAAAACAGAAAAAATGGGGGAAACCCACTGAATTTCTTTCACATGACATTCAATAACTCAGAAGAAAACAAGGACAAGTTTCTATTAGGGCATAGCATTCATCACAACTTCAAATACAAGACAAGAGAAGCTACTGAAGGAAAAAAACAGAAAAATGGAACCCGATAATAACAAAATCATATTATTTTTTTAAAAAAAACTAATAACAAAATCGCATTTAACCTCGAAAAAATGGTTGAAACAACACATGATTCTTACTGAAACATGGATTTAACGAAGCTTTACGCATTTGATCATAGACTCATAGGCATGGTTTTGATTCTGATTAAATTTCTTACATCAAAGCAATACTGGAATAAGTAATAGAGGAGAACCCCGTGACCAGTACAGGGAATGAGGGTAATTTTTAGAGAGAGAAACAAAAGTAAGATGTGAAACGAAGAGCTTGGGCACACCTGAGCTTATATCAGTGCAAGGATCAAAGACTGAAGAAGTTCATGGCAACATCGGCAGATTTGAAATACGGCGCTGGGATCTGCCTCCCTGTAGAGAGAGAGAGGGATTGGTAATGTGAAAAGACAGTTGATAAGGAGAGAGAATATGGGGTTACTTCCTTGAGCCAGTAAACGTAAAATCGATTACCTTCGGTCCTTACACTTTTTATTTTCAAATGAGAGAGGGAGGGGTTACGCGTTAGTTTCAAAGACAGAGAGAGGGGTTAGGATTTATTTTGAGGATTTTATATTTGGAAAGGTTTATATGCTTTCCCTACATCATGTAATATTTATGCTTTCTTTCCCTACCATCCGGCCATCTAATTTTTATCAAGAGAGCCGCTCCTCATTTGATATTAGATCTGATGTTTTAAAGTATTTTATTTTTAATTTTTTTATATAAATTATATAAATATGAAATTCGGTACGTACCATCTTCTCATTGGGACGCACTTATAAAAATATTTAACATAATTTTTTGATAAAATATAATGACTAAAATACCCCTTTGAAAATATCATTTTGAACTTTCAAGGGTATTTTGGTCATTTTATTTTTTAACAATTGTTTTTTATTTTTCACTAGTACGAGTTTAATAGAGGATTTGACGAACAAAATTTGGTGGTAAAATAGTTTATAGAAAAAAAAATTAAAATAAAATAGTGTAGAGACGTGATATTGTGATTGGAGCAATCTTAGCCCTGCATTCAAAATGAGCGGTTGGATAAGTGGAAGTACATAAGTTTTATGTTGTAGGGGAAGCATAGAAAGCTTGCCCTTTTATATTTGTATGCAATGAGATCATTTACTTTTGGTAATGGAAGATCACAATGCTTCTAACCTTTCGATATGAAATATGGTAGTGTGGGTGTGTCAAAAAATTCAAAAAAAAAATCTTTTGAACTTTGAGCTTGGTAAATGAAATAAATGCAGCCACCCAATTCCATATGTAATTGTCAATGTTAATTATGACTACCTTGTACAAAAGGTAAATTGTCTCATTATATACTTTCCCTTATTTTCACAAGAGAGCGTTACGAAAAGAGAATAAGTGACATATTATCATAAAAAGGTTGTCGGGTTTGTATAAAGTTGCAATCTTAAACAATTAAATTAAGGCACACCTCTAATTTTTTTATCATAAATATAATTTTGGTGTCAATAATTATTAGAATGGCTTGAGATTCTATTTCTATCTCTAAGTATAAAATCTTGAGCTTTAAAAATGGCTCAAATCAAGTAGACCTATATGCCTTTGAAAATATTGAAAATGGGCAGTCCAGATAGTATGTGTTATAAGATACACTATTTTTAAGACTCAAAATCTTATTTTCTTTTCATATTAATACATCTCAATGTCGAGTTAGTCAATTAGAGAGTTTTTTAATACCAAAACAAGCTTTTATAATGGATTTCTTAGGTACACCTTAACTCTACATTCTAAAACTTTTTTCCAAAATAAATGGCCATGAGTTTGAAAAGTTATACATGGGGAACTTTCCTTTAACACTATGAATGTTAGGGCATATTATCATAAAGAGAAAATTACCTACGAACTTTAATAAGTTAGTAAACTGCAAGTTGCTCTCTTTTCAAAATTATAACGTTGCCCTCCTTCCAAAACTACAACCAAGGTCGGTCAACATGATCTTTTTTTTTATAAAATTACCATTCGGTCCAAAGATGTCATCCTCAAACTACACCATTACTATGATTCTGGCGAGATCCCAAGAATCAAGTAAGTTTGTTTTTTATTTCACTTTTTTACATTTTTTTAGAAACTTGAATTGTCACATTTGAATATAGGTCTTTTCAAACAGGAAGTTGCATTGAGATGATTAGGGTTTCTACAATATATAATTTAACCTAAAAAAATAAACAAAAATTACTAAAAAGAATTAGGGCTCCTTGACAAAGTATTGAATTTTGTTTTTTGACATATTGGGGTTTTTTTTTGTTTGAAACCTAGTGAAAAATCAGTGGTTTGTGTAATATCTTTTCATTTATACATGTACTTCAATTTTTAATTGAGTTATACATAATATTGTTTCTTTTCATTTATACATATAATTTAATTTTTATTTATGTAGTTGTACAACGCAATTTATTGTAGTTGCACTCTTATATTGGTGCTAGGGTGTTTTTAATCGAGGCTACCTCACATTGACTCTACAAGCCCCTCATTTGTATAATAAAAATGGCCATCGGTGGAGTTAGACTGGTGCGTCACTATGGTGGATTTTTTTGAACGAAATATAAATGATGAGAAAATTTATTATAAGGGTGGGAATATAAAAGTCACATTGTATGGGGGAGGTCAGTCATTGGAATGAATGAAGGCCCATATGGCAAATTTGACAGTTATCTATAAAGAAAACGACTATTTGGTTTAATTAAACGAAGATGGAGATGTGACACGTATGCTACTGGTAGCTTCTAGTATTCATGTATGCGTTTCAAACCTATCTTCTGAACCATCACGTATGGATCATCAACCAAGAGTGGATGATGCAAGTTCATCATGTGGTCCATCAACTAAGATCATGTAATAATTATGATTTATATGCTTATGTTGGTATTTTATTTGTCGTATTTAATATTGATTTAATTCTTTGATCATGATTTCCTAAGCAACCCATTAAACCAGTGCCCAACCTTGTCATCCGAAAATGAAGTACATGCATGCAAGCCCAACTCAGATGATGACATGGAGTTTGGACCTGTTCGTGATGACCAATATATATTGAACATGCCGCACTCTTCAGCTTGCGCTAGAGTCGATCTACATGTCAAACTGTATTTTGAGCATGTCATGGTACTTCAAGAACATTTAGTTGATTATGCCACATGTCAAAATTTTATCATGGAATACAAAAGAAACGACCAATAGTGTGTAGTTGCAGTCTGTGCTGCAGATTGATGCAAATGGGAAGTTCGCTGCTCTAGGAATTATCCCTTTAAATTTTTTAAAGTGAGGAAATATTGGAAGAAGAGCATACATGTACATGTCCATTTGGAAGGGCTTATCAGCCATTAGCATGTAGCCAGTGGGTTGTCAGAAAAATTAAAGTCCGTCTGACTAATAAGATGGATCTCGCTCCAAAATATATTGCCAAATATATTCAACAGAAACATGGTGTCCCACTGATATACATGCATGCATGGCGGGGACAAGAAGTTGCGACTGAAATGATACATGGGTCGCATATGTAGTCGTTTATAGAGCTACCCTTATTCCTAGAGAGTATACGACTCACCGATCCTCAATCTGTAGGCTATATACTAACAGAACCTCAATACATATTTCAGTGTTTGTTTATATTTTTTCATCCATTTGTATATGGGTTTTTGTATAGTTGTAGGCCTCTTATAGTATTGGATGACATATTCATGTAGGGAACATATAGGGGAATATTATTGGCAGTTATTAATATAGATGCCAATGGTGGTATGTTCCCCTTTGCAATTGCTGATGTGAAGATAGAGGATAATGATAGTTGGGTTAGGTTTCTTAATTGTCTATGGCAGCAACTCAATGAAAAACCAAAGCTACGTTTCACAATTACTTCAGACCGACATAAAGGTTTGAAGACCACAATCCAACAAGTTTTCCAAGATGGTTTTCATAGTTCTATACAAGCCATATAACATATAACTTTAAAAGGCGATGGAAGAGTCCTATACTGGTGGCATTATTTTGGAATGTTGTCCGTGCTGTGTGACCAGAAGAATTCGAGGCAGAGATCGAATGCATGGAGAATTCAACTGGTGTTGCTGCCATGCATCGACATTATCCCTCTGATGCATGTCGTCAGGTGTGTGGTGTTTGTCTTGAGATACGACCTTTCCATCATAGCGATCATTAACGGATGATCAATAGTTATATGGCGTGGCTCTGCTAGTTGCATCAATGGCAACAAACTCAGCCTCTCAGTAATCTCACGTTGCTCCTCTCTAATGGGCCATGACCTAACGACAGTAAATGGCTCGTCGATGTAAATCCTTGGTCTCTTCTAGAAACAACAATGACGCTATAGTATGTAGATCGTTAACAACAATGTGCATGTAATGTGACATAAACAAGGAGATTTGTCTTTACCTTTCCTTGAGACACCAATTCAGATCCTCCACTATTATTCCCTTGATTTGCCATCTTATCTACAAAACTAAATTCCAATTTTAAAAAATAAACATACTATATGAATCATAACATTGTGAATGAACTGGAAATAGTTATATCGGTTTAGTTGACTAGTATTAAGGAACTTAATTGAGGAAACAACTAGCATTGAAGGCAGAAAATAATTAGCATTGAAAGCAAATCAATTATGGATCCTTCCCATACTTTTAGGATAAAAGTATCTTATAAAATGTAATAGTTGAGATTGAAGGTTGTTCTTGTATCGTGCAATGCTCAGTAAACATTAAACATTAAACATTTATACATAATAACAAGGATTCAGAAAGAGTCGTGAAATTAACTTGAAATATTTTGAGATAAACATTACATAAACTGCCCATCAATGAGAAAATAATAGAACAATGTATACTTCAATGGTAAATTTGTAGGAGCTATTACAAATTGAGCATGACACATTATAGAATAACTGAATTAAAAAATAAATAACATGTACAAATGAAAACATAACACACAAACCACTGATTTCCCACTAGATTCAAACAAAACAAAAAACAAACCTCACATGTCAAAAGAAGAAATTCATGATTTTGTTGATTTTCTCTAATAATTTAATCCATGAAGCAGTTTGAAGTTTAACATTTACATCATTTGTCATAACTAAAAGAAATGAACTATTATCGGTTACAAAACATATAAGTAAATGTATATACAAAACATATAACTATTATCTATTACAAAACATAAAGTCTGTAAGTGAACATGTTTGATTTTTCATTATTCTAAACTAACACCAAAGAAGAATTC